ATGAGCTGCAGGCAGGATGGGGTTGTCTCTCACGTGTCCAGGAAACACTTGCCAGGCGCCTCCTATGTGCAAAGCTCTGTGCTCTGGGGCTAGAACCGTGAACTAAATAGACAAAGATCCCTTCCTTGGGGCAGCTGATATCCTGTGGATCAGTTTGTTGCCTTGAGCCTGACATGGGAAAGATGGTGGGGGCATTGGACAGAGGACAGTTCTCTTAAAGGCAGGACTGCCCCCTTGCCAAAGGTGGAACATCGAGGCTCCATGGAGCCCCTGTGGCCGCCTCACAAGCAGCCCTTATCCCCCTGCGTTCCCATGATCGTCTTTTTCCCCAGAGTGGGGGCTCCTCTCTGAGGAGGCCTGGGCCACATCTGACAGCCTCCTGGGGAACCAGGTTGGGAAGGAGGCCTCTCAGGGTCTGATTGCCTTCTCCCAACCCCCATCGTCTCCCCTGGCAGCGGCTGATTGACAAGACCAAGGTGACATATCTGAAGTGGCTGCCTGAGTCGGAGAGCCTGTTCCTGGCATCACACGCCAGCGGCCACTTGTACCTGTACAATGTCAGCCACCCGTGCACCTCGGCACCCCCCCAGTACAGCCTGCTGAAGCAGGGCGAGGGCTTTGCTGTCTATGCTGCCAAGAGCAAGGCGCCTCGCAACCCGCTGGCCAAGTGGGCTGTGGGTGAGGGGCCCCTCAACGAGTTTGCCTTCTCGCCCGACGGCCGGCACCTGGCCTGTGTCAGCCAAGACGGCTGCCTGCGCGTCTTCCACTTCGACTCCATGCTCCTGCGGGGGCTCATGAAGAGCTACTTTGGGGGCCTGCTCTGCGTGTGCTGGAGCCCTGATGGGCGCTACGTTGTGACGGGTGGTGAAGATGACCTGGTCACCGTGTGGTCCTTCACTGAGGGCCGCGTGGTGGCTCGTGGCCATGGCCACAAGTCCTGGGTCAATGCTGTGGCCTTTGACCCCTATACCACAAGGGCCGAGGAGGCGGCAGCAGCCAGTGGTGACGGGGAACGGAGTGTCGAGGAGGAGGAGGAGCCTGAGGTGGCCGGCCCAGGCTCGAATGGGGGAGCCCCGCTCTCCCCAATGCCCAAGGCCGGCTCCATCACTTACCGCTTCGGCTCGGCCGGCCAGGACACGCAGTTCTGCCTGTGGGACCTCACCGAAGACGTGCTTTACCCTCACCCACCCCTGGCCCGCACCCGCACACTGCCCGGCACCCCTAGCACCACACCGCCTGCTGCCAGCAGCTCTCGGGGTGGCGAGCCAGGCCCCGGGCCCCTGCCCCGCTCGCTGTCTCGCTCCAACAGCCTCCCACACCCAGCGGGCAGTGGCAAGGCGGGTGGCCCAGGCACAGCGACAGAGCCAGGCACGCCCTTTAGCATCGGCCGCTTTGCCACGCTCACGCTGCAGGAACGGCGGGACCGCGGGGCGGAGAAGGAGCACAAGCGCTACCACAGCCTGGGCAACATCAGCCGGGGAGGCAGCGGGGGCGGCGGCAGCGGGGACAAGCCCAGCGGCCCTGTTCCCCGCAGCCGGCTGGACCCAGCCAAGGTGCTGGGCACGGCGTTGTGCCCGCGCATCCACGAGGTGCCACTGCTCGAGCCCCTGGTGTGCAAGAAGATCGCCCAGGAGCGGCTGACGGTCCTCCTGTTCCTGGAGGACTGCATCATCACCGCCTGCCAGGAGGGCCTCATCTGCACCTGGGCCCGGCCGGGCAAGGCGGTGAGTCGGCCACACTGGCCTCCTTGGGACTGGAACTCTGGAAGAGGCGGGTCTTGGAAGAGCAGTTTGTCAATGTCACAGCCTCTAGCCCCCTGGGCTGAGGAGAAACCATGACGTAGTTGTGTCTCAGAGCAAGCCCTCTCACCTCTTAGAGTGATGGGCTCTAGAACCCCCGGCAGCAGTCAGCAGAGAAAGGGTCGGGTAGAAGAGCCAGCTGGGTGTGGTGGGGACCACGGCCAACTACCAGAACAGCAGCCAATGGGCCTAGCACGGCCAGGTCTTTATCACTTGTTGCTTGAAGCCAGATCTGTATTTCTATGGGAAATGTGATTTTTAAGTGGTGAAACTTTTGGGGTACAGCAGGTCAAGTTCTCTGAGCAAGACTGGGCTTGGGCCCAGCTTCCCACCTGGGTCTGCACTGTTGGGATATGAGCCCAGTGCTGAGGCACAGACTGGAATCCCTGGCTCAGGGACCAGTCCTGCACTTCTCTCTGTGTAACTTGGGGCAAGTTCCTGCTCCCCTCAGACTTCTGTCACCTCTCACGTCAGGGAGGCTTGCAAATACGTGGTAGGGGTTTGATGTGCCCACCTCCTGAGGTGGCTGTGGGGTCAGGAAGGCCCCAGTAAGTGGAGCACAGGCCTGGCACCTTGGAACTTTGGAACGTGGACTCAGATGTCTCAGCTCCTCACGGTCTGAGCTTGGGCGCCCAGGGTGTCAGGTCTGAGGGCTGCAGCGTGGTTCCTTGGAAGGGAGGTTTGGGTCATAGTATCCTGTTTCCCTAGAACTTAGAGCACAGTTTCAGAGCCTGATAGGTGGAGCATTGGGATTTGGGGAGTCTGGAGAGTCCTGAAAGGGACCCCTCTATCTCCCTAGTTCACAGATGAGGAGACCGAGGCCCAGACAGGGGAAGGAACTTGGCCCAGGTCACCCAGCAAGTCAGTGGTAGAGGTAGGACTGTCCCTGAGTCTTTTTCCCCAAGAATCTCAGGATCCCCTCAGTTAGAAGGGGACCACAGTTTCCCTTCCTCTCCCCACCTCCACCCCTACCCCACCGTCTGCTCAGGATCACCTTAGGACTTTAATTACTATATAAAAGTGCTGCCTGTGGGGATAGGAAAGCTAGTTGAGATTAAGTTCTAGAACCTAGAGCAGCAGCCAGGTGGGGGGTGTCTGGGGTGGACTGAAGGCCAGGCCTGGGTGGTGGGAGCCCCAGGTGTTCTCTAACCTCTGCTGTCTCCCCTCTCATCTTCCCCAGGGCATCTCCTCCCAACCAGGCAACTCCCCCAGTGGCACAGTGGTGTGAAGCCATGGATATTGGGTTCCCCCAGCCCCACCTGCCTCCCAGCCATAACCCTTCTGCTGGCCTCACGGATCAACTATTAACAAGACTAACCATTTCGGATGGACTGCTCCGGTCCCCCGCCCTGCACAAATTTGGGGGGATGTAGTGGCCCATGTGGCCTCAGCCTTGTCCCCACCCACTGCCAAGTACAATGACCCCTTCTGCTGAAACATCAGTGTTAGCCTCATCCCTGTCCCCAGCATGTGACTGGTCATTGGGGTGGGGGAAGCTCCCCACCCACAAGAGCCCCAGCTCTGCAGTGTGCCCCTCGGTCTTTGGGCAGGACAGGGCGGCCTGCCCCTCCCCAACCCCCAGCCCTATCCCCCTGCTGTTGTTTGTGCTTTTGAAGAGTTAAGTTATGGAAGCCCCTTGGGGCCCTCCCTGTCCCCAGCACCTCTTATTTATACTAAAGTTCTCTGTTTTCGCACCGTCTCTGATCCCTTCCTTGGAGGTGTGTGTGGAGGGAATATGTGTGCTTTCACTGTGTGCTACATCAGTCCACTTTATTTTTTATTATAAGAAAGTTTTAGAAGGTTACAGAGCCCTGGCTGGGTGGCTGTTGCTTGAGCATCGTCCGGTGCACAGGAGCAGTGCCAGTTTGATCCCCAGGCAGGGCAAGTGCAGGGGGTGCAGTGGGGGGCTGATTCATGTTTCCTGCTCCCTCTCTAAGCATGTCCTCCGGCGAGGATTTGAAAAAAGAAAAAGTTGCAGAGGTGGTAGAACTGAGCCAGCTGGGCTGTGCAGGCCCAGGAAACAAGTTACAAAGGCCTAAGAAGCGCCCTTGGAGCTCAGGAAAGCACACTCAAAAAGAAGGTTCTAGCAGGCATGCTCTGGGGAGAGAGAGAGCATGCACCCATCCATCCACTTTCACCAGGGAGCAGCCAGGCTCGCCCCCCTTTTAATGGACAAATTGAAGGCAGGAGAAGGGACAGGCTCAAGGCACTAGCCAGCCGTGAGCAGGGCCCATTGGATGGAGAGGACCCCAAACCCTTGAGGGAAGAGAACCACCAGGGCCCCCTCTTCAGAGTGCTCAGTGGGAGTTTGCAGAATTACTTGAAAATGCCCAAACTGTCCAAATCTACTATTACAGGGTCTCCCCAAACGGGGTCCCCAGGCAGCTCCAGAGGCCCGGGGTGAGTGTCCTTGAGCAGGGGTCTTGGCTTCCTGCTGTCTTCGCCTGGTTTGCCCAGCCCAGCCATCCAGAGCCAGCCGGAGACCACAGTTTCCTCTAGGACAACTGTCCGCCCTGGAAAGGACAATGAAATCCCTCCTGGCTGGCTCTCCCGCTCCGCCCTTCACCCCCCGAAATGTTTCTGTTTCTAATCCTGGCCTGGGCAGGAATGTGGCTGCATGCTGGGGGCCAAGGAGCTATTTTGGGGGCTCCTTTGCCTCCCTCAGGCTTTGGCCAGTGGGTCACCCCTGGTCTTGGCTCCTGAGGGCCTCCCTTCCCAATTCACTCACCACCCCTTCCTCACCTCCTGCCAAAAAAAAAAGTGTAAAGCAGAGGGCCTGAGGGCTAAATTTAAACTGTCCCAAAGTCTGAATCCTGGCTGAGTCACCCACAAAGCTGTCCTGGCCTCCTGCCCCCCTTCCCAGGCCTCACCCCTTCCTCCTCCCCCCAACTCCAGGGCTAGGGAGGGGTGTTACAGGTCACTCTGGACCTCAATTGGCCCCCTCTGGGGAATGGGAGGGCTCAGCTTCCATCATACCTGTAGCTTTCGCCTTCCTCTACTCCGCCTTTTAATGGAGTGGGCTGGTGGCGAAGGGTTGAGATTCTCTACCCCCCAGTCTCACACTGAAACATTCTAGGGGGGGCCTGGCTTGTGAGGGGTTAAGGCTGGGAGGCAGGAGGGGGCCGGCCAAGGGGTGGGGAGAAGGGGAGGAGGCCTGTGCAGCGAGCAGAGGGAAGTGGCCAGAGGCCCAGGGCACAGCCAGGGACAGGCCGACATGCAGCCAGGGCCCTAGGGCCTGAACAGGGGCTGCCAGGCCCCGTGACAAGAGGACCCCGAGCCCCCGGCCCGGGGAGGGGGCCATGGTGCTGCCTGCCCGACATGTCAGCCGAGGTGCGGCTGAGGCGGCTCCAGCAGCTGGTTCTGGACCCCGGCTTCCTGGGGCTGGAGCCCCTGCTCGACCTTCTCCTGGGCGTCCACCAGGAGCTGGGTGCCTCCGACCTGGCCCAGGACAAGTATGTGGCCGACTTCTTGCAGTGGGGTGAGTGCCTGCCTGCCCGGGCTCCCCCAGATTGGGAGGTGGGGAGAGGGCAGAGGCAGGAGTGAGATTGGGCACAGGGATGGCTCTTGGGGGGCAGGATAGACATGGGGAGAGCTTCCCACTCAGGGGCCCAGAACTTGGGCCTGGGTGGGTCCTGGGGAGACATGCCCCTACCCCTCTGCTGCTCTTGCTGGTCAGCAGAGGCCTGGGCAGCCACGACTCAACCATGACTTGGGAGCCATGGTAAGCTGGGCTGAGAACAGCCCCCCATGGCCCCCCTGTACCCCATTCCCCAAGTCTAGGCCTAGGGACATGCTGGGAATCCTACCTCCTAGGGTACCCACACATACCAAAATGGGTCCTGTGGGCCTCCACCCTGGTTCCCCAGAGCATGAGGCCAGCATGAGGGACAGGCAGCTGCCAGGGGCGCGGCCCGAGGGCAGGTGTTAGGCGCCAGCTTCTCCAGCTGCCCCAACAGGTGCCCAGGCTCTGGGAGTGCTCAGTGACTCAGGCAGGCCCTGGGGGACAACCAGCTCTACAGACAGGTGCCACCCAGTACCCTGTCTACCCCCTGGATGGAGGAGTCCCCCCTCCATCCATTTTGGTCCCTTTTAGTCTGCATGGGTCAGCCTTGACTCCCCTCCAGCTCCGCAGATCCATTAATTCTACTCCGTGACCTCCAGCCTTCCTTTCCTCCCGCAAAGCCCATTCTTGCCAGGTCTTCCCCAGAAACAGGTCCAGTCCTCCAGACGGAAGATGCTTCAACCTCCGCCTCCTGCCGTGTCTGCCCCCACCCTCTCCTGGCCCAGGACTCAGGCTTACTTGGGTTTCTGTCTCTGTGACAGTCTGTCCCTCAGTGGCCTGCTCTTGGTCCTTAGGCTCTCTCTGTCCCTCGGTTTCCTCATTCTGCCTTCTGCTCTTTCTTTCCTTGTGTTCATCTCTTTGGAACCCAGGCCCTGCTCCCATTTCGCAAGTGGGAAGGTGGAGGTCAAGGGCCTGGTGACTCAGCCTCTGGAAGAACCTTCTCCCCACCTCCCCTGAGCCCTTAGTACCTCTCTTAGACCCCCTTTTGCAGAGGATGAAGTTTGGCCTGCAGGGTAAACTGAGACCTGAGGTGGGGGCAGGGGTCTGGCTCTCCTGTGAGGAGCACTCCTTTTGTGGCCTGAGCAGTATCCTGCGGGCCCCTCCCCTGCAGGCTTGGGCGGGGGAGGGGGCCTGGGTTCCCGCTGCCTTAAAAGGGCTCAATGTCTTGGCTCTCTCCTCCCTCCCCCATCCTGGGCCCTTGCTGGTTCTTCCCTGTTGGCCCACTCTCCCCGAACCCCACAGGGGCCCCCCTCTCCCCTCCATAACCCACTGTATCTCCCCTCATTCCTACTCACCCCACTGCCGCCATTGGCTTCTACCCCCGTGGGGCCTAGGCCTCCCTCTCCCATGTCCCTGAGTTTCCTGCCTCCATATTCCCACATGGCCCTGTTTAACAATCCTCGCTGTAGGATCCTGGGCAAATGACTTCACCTGCCTGAGGCTTGAGCCCCCATCCGTAAATAAGTTATAATGGAGTACTCCTCCTGGACTTCAAAGGACTGAGAGAACTCATGAACCGGGCCTAGAGCCCTGGCCTTGTCCCCTCTTCAGTTCCTCCTCGTACCCCTGCCCCCCAATTCAGTGTTTCCCAAAGTGTGGTCCAAGAGCCACCTGCCTCTGAACCTAGAGGGACTGGCTAAAGCTGCATGTTCGGGCCCTTTCCCCATCATTCCTACTGGGGGCAGGGGCCTGAATCCCAGGGAGCTAGAACTGGGTCTGTCCTCCCTGTTCTTCCAGGGCCTCCCTTCTGCAGACTTGTGTCCCCGCCCTGCTCCTGCTCCCATAAGAGCCCTCTGGCCCAATGCCTTGTCCCAAATAGGGGTTCCCAGGCATCCCACTCCTCTCTGTAGGAGGGCAGTTTTGCATCCCCCAAACCTCACACAGTGTTTATGTGGGGAAGCCCTTGGGAGGCAAACAGTCCTAAGGGGAAGGGCAGAGAGAAGGGGAGATTGAGCGTCGGAGGGAGGGGGGGAGACTGAGAGGAAAGAACAAGGGGCTGGGAGGAGACGGAGGAACAGAGTGTGGGACTTTCTCCTGGTCTCCACTGTCAGTCCGAGTGACCCTCTGTTCTCACCGCCCCCCATTCCCCAGTGGAGCCCATCGCGGCGAGGCTTAAGGAGGTCCGACTGCAGAGGGATGACTTCGAGATTCTGAAGGTGATCGGACGCGGGGCGTTCAGCGAGGTAAGAAGCCCAGAGCCCAGGAGCCTTGACTTTTCCTGCCTTGGGCGGGACGTAGGGCTTGGGGCGGGGCCTCAGAAATTGATGAATGAGTTTAGAACCTAAGACTAGTAGGGGCGGAGCTTAAGACCAATGGGCGCGGCCTGGCGGGTGGGCGGGGTTTGGGTGGAGTCCGGTCTGAGCGATCCCCGGTGCTCCTCGCCACCTCCACCCCAGTCACCCTGGTTCGGCCTTCAGGTAGCGGTAGTGAAGATGAAGCAGACGGGCCAGGTGTACGCCATGAAGATCATGAATAAGTGGGATATGCTGAAGAGAGGCGAGGTGAGGCCCGTGGCTGGATGTGCAGGGCACTGAGGATCCTCCCCTCAAACTCCCTCAACCGCTTCAGCTCCTCCGGTGCCCCGCAGGTGTCGTGCTTCCGCGAAGAGAGGGATGTGCTGGTGAACGGGGACCGGCGCTGGATCACGCAGCTGCACTTCGCCTTCCAGGATGAGAACTACCTGGTGAGCCCAGGCCGGTGCCCAGAGGGACGGACCTCCACCCCAAGGCTGGCAGCTAACGAGGGGGGACAGGGAGCGGATCTAGGGTGGGGGAGCTGCCTCGAAATTCCTCCGGAGTCTGTGTGTAGTAGGAATGGACTTCCCTTCCCGGGATGGCAGATGTTCCTGGGCTGATTCTGGGGGCCTCTTATAAAGATGCCGCCATTGGGGGAGTCTTACCTGGAATGGGAGAGCTTTGTAGTCTGTGCAGGGGCCACTGGGCAGAGGGTATCTGGGGGGCTCTACACTCTGGGCATTAGGAAGTCTCTGGGTTCTCTTATCTCTGGGGGGGGGCGGTGAATCTCTGCCTAGTTACATCTGAAAGAATTTGGGGGGTTTTGGTGGGGGAGGGTGTCTCTGATTTGGCCTGGAAGATCTCTGGGGCTCCCTTGGGGCTGCCCAGGAACGAGGCGTCTCCGGGAGTCTTTGTCTGGGCACCTAGGGGGATTACTGACCCCGGTGACATGCCCCCTCCCAGTACCTGGTCATGGAGTACTACGTGGGCGGGGACCTGCTGACGCTGCTGAGCAAGTTTGGGGAGCGGATCCCAGCCGAGATGGCGCGCTTCTACCTGGCCGAAATCGTCATGGCCATAGACTCGGTGCACCGACTGGGCTACGTGCACAGGTGGGCGCCGCAGGAGCTGAGGGGCGGGGCTTGAGGGTGGAGTGCGGGAGGGGTAGCGAAGGACCCCGAAGGAGGGGATACCACAGAAGCTGGAGCCCGGAAGGGGTGGGGCCCACTGGAGACGGGACCTGAGGAGTTGGGTCCAGAACTGTAGAATCTGGGGAGGGAAGGCCTGAGGGCAAGGCCTGGGGGCTTGGGAATTGGGGAGCCTAGTCTCTAAGAGGGTGGGGCCCCAGCCTGGTGAGATGGGAGGCGGGAGGCTCACTTATCCACCCTCCACTCCCTTCTTCACTCTGCAGGGACATCAAACCCGACAACATCCTGCTGGACCGCTGCGGCCACATCCGCTTGGCCGATTTTGGTTCCTGCCTCAAGTTGCGGGCTGACGGAACGGTGAGCAGTGAGTGGTGCTCCTGAGGCCGCCACCGGTGAGGGGTGGGGTGAGGTGCGGCTGAGGTGCGGAGCGGGCGGGCGGAGCTAGGACCTCGGACCGAGCGGGACTCCAGGTTAGAACAGGCAGGAGGCGGGACCAAGACGGGGCGTGGCTGGGAGGCGGAGCCGGGGCTCGGCGGCGCGGGGATGAGCCTAACCCTGGTTCTGTTGGTTCAGGTGCGGTCGCTGGTAGCTGTGGGCACCCCTGACTACTTGTCCCCCGAGATCTTGCAGGCCGTGGGTGGCGGGCCGGGGACGGGCAGCTACGGACCCGAGTGTGACTGGTGGGCCCTGGGCGTGTTCGCCTATGAAATGTTCTACGGGCAGACGCCCTTCTACGCCGACTCCACGGCCGAGACTTACGGCAAGATCGTGCACTACAAGGTGAGCGGGGCCCCCGGAGCCCTGATCCCGCTGCGCCTGCTCCCAGGCTGACATCCGCGCTTTCCCGCTCCCTCTGAGCAGGAGCACCTTTCTCTACCGCTGGCTGACTCAGGAGTCCCTGAGGAGGCTCGGGACCTCATCCAGCGACTGCTGTGTCCCCCGGAGACACGGCTGGGCCGGGATGGAGCCGGCGATTTCCAGAAGCATCCTTTCTTCTTTGGCCTTGATTGGGATGGTCTCCGAGACAGCGTGCCTCCCTTTACTCCGGATTTTGAGGGTGCCACCGACACGTGCAACTTCGATGTGGTGGAAGACGGGCTCACTGCCATGGTGAGCGGGGGCGGGGTAGGTACCTGCGACCCGTGCTCCCCTCATCCCCTCTCCATAAAGTTCAGGTTAGGATAGTGCCCACCTCTTGGGGTCCTGAAATAATTTCTTCCCCTGAACAACTGCTCTGTGCCTGTCTGTCCAGTGCTGGAAACCCAGTAGTGACCTAGACTCACAGTCCAGCGGGGAACACAGTCTTTTCCCCAGACAGTGACACCCCAGAGAGATCAGGACTGAGATGAGGAAGTGTAGGGTGCAGGGCTTCCTGGAGGGCTTCCTGGAGGAGGGCACTATCTGAGCTGAGACCTGGAAGGAGGAGAGATGAAAGGCAGGAAAGCACCATAGAGAAATCTGCCTCCCTTAGGCCATCTCTTTCTCTTAACTGTTACACAAGCTATCTTGGAGTGTTTACTCAGCCTGTGTGTCTTTGTGCTGAGCACTACTGGGGACACACATGGACCAAGTCAGCCCTGGTCCCTCATTCACTTCGAGTCTGGAGAAGTATATAATGATACTGTGGTGAGGGCCCTGAGGGAAACAGGAAGACACAATCAATGATGGAGGGAACACTTTATATAGGCCCTAAGTAAGGGTGGGCTTGGGGAGTACATTTAAGCCAAGACTGGGAAGGGGTGAGCAGCCATCCCTGACAACCAGTGGTCACCTCCTGTCTGATTCTCTTGTATAGGAGACACTGTCAGACATGCGGGAAGGTGTGCCGCTGGGGGTCCACCTGCCTTTTGTTGGCTACTCCTACTCCTGCATGGCCCTCAGGTAAGAACTGCCCTAGGAGGCTGCTCAGGGTTATGGTATCCTGGCCCATCAGTGCCCAGTAGAATTGTAGGATCAGTCTTGGAACCTTACTGACTTAGGAACCCAGAGTTGTAGGACCTTAAAATCTCAGACCATAGTACCTTGAAATTTTAGATTCAATTGTAATACCTCAGAGCCATCAACTTGACCTTGTGGAATCTTCCAACCTTCCATGTCTAGGTTTCTAGTACAGAGTCATGGAATCTCAGAATCCTTTTAAAATCAGTCTTAAAATAACACAAACTCAATGAATCACTCACATAACCGTAAAGCCCTTTTAAAACATTATTTCTAGCCCTGGCCATGTAGCTCAGTTGCTTAGAGCATCGTCCCGATACGCCAAGGTTGCGGGTTCAATCCCCAGTCAGGGTACATACAAGAAGCAGCCAGTGATGCATAAATGAGTGGAACAACAAATTGATGTTTCTCTCTCCTTTCCTGTCTCTATAATCAATAAAGAAAATAATAAATAAAAATAATAAAACTAAAACATTAAGTCTGCTAATAATACATTGCTTGACACTAGTAAATTATAAAATATGAATAAGAAAAGGAAGCCAACCATCCGCTCTGGTCCCTGGCTCATGCGTACACACGCATCCACAACCCTGAGAATGTGCTGCACTCTAACCTGTCCTGTTACTGGACAATGTATCGCAAACACCATTTCTTATCATGAATGAACTACAACCTGATCCTGACCCGCTGCGTATATTCTCTTTACCGGGCAGGGCAGGACTCAGTTAGCCTGTCCTCTCCGCCCTAAGCCAGGCTGGATGAGCAGCCACAGGTTGGTCTAGGTGCATGTGCAGTTAGGTCCTTGAGACATAATTCTGTGAGGGGATTGATGGACGGGGAGGGACATCCACTTTTATTGCCATTTCTATTTGTAGGGAGGGTTTGTCCCCCTCAGCGGCTGGGTATGAGGGAGTATGCTGTCTAGAGTCACAGTCTAGGGATCCACACCCAGTCATAAGACTATATCTTTGGAGGTGGCCAGAACTGGGCAGCATTCCCCTCATTGGGTATCCCTCACTGTCTTGAGGCCCTAGGAGAGGGCTCTGCAAAGGTCACATGGAGAGGGAGGAGATGAGTGCACCCTAGAACATGGGTGTTGTTCCTTGAGTTCCTGCAGAAGGTATACAGAGGGCAGCTCTCAGGGGCCTGAGGCCATGCCAGGGGCAGGCCTTTCCCTTTGTTCCCCTCATCCTGCCCCCTCCCACTCCTTAAACATGGGGTCTTTGGATCTGGCTGCCCCATGCCCACAGGCTAGGGAGTCCTAGCTCTCCCTTCTCAACCTTTCCCTCTCTCCAGGGACGCTGAAGTCCAGCACCCCACGCCCATGGAACTGGAGGCCGAGCTGTTGCCTGAGCCCCCTGTGCAAGCGCCCAGCCCAGAGCCCACGGTACCCCCACCAGAGGAAACGGTGAGTTGTTGGAGGAAAGGGTCAGTCAGAGTAAAGGCAAAGACTTCCAGGGTAGTGTGTGCCATGGAGCACTAAGCCCTCTGCGAGCTTATTCATGCAAAGAGACGGAAAATAGACGTTACTTCAGTCAGAGATGATCAGAGGGCATGGAGTGTGTGTGCAGGGGCCTCTCTGTGGAGGGGAAGCCCAGCGGAAGGGGGAGGACCGCCCAGGGGGAGAGTGTACCCATTGGTCAGCAGAGAAAACCTTCAGGGCAAGCCCCTGAGGTGGGAATCAGCTGGGTTTATTCTTGACACTGAAAGGAGGGTACAGAGGCTGAACTGTTCCAGCAGAAGGGGCGTGAAGAGTGAGGGGACGGGGGCTGCAGGGGCCAGCCAAACCAAACCAAAGAGGGCCTTTCGGTGCAGCAGCCTTCTCCTGTGGGCACAGAGGAGCTGGAGGACTTGTGAGCAAGGGCACTGCGTGGGCAAGTTGAGTGGGTGTTCCAGGACCAAGCCTTGGGGTCCTATAAGGAGAAGAATGGGAGTGGAGCCCACTAAAGGCTGGAGACCAGGGTGGGAGCTGGGTTAGGGAAGGAGGGTGCTTGGATCATTGCAGGAGCTGTGGGGATTCCAGAAAGATTTAGGGATGGGGAGTAGAAGAGAAGAGAGGACCCTAGGCCTGGAACCTATGCCCAAGTCTTGAGTGCTCCAGGAGCCACAGGCAGCCCTAAGCCCAGTCCCTATATGCAGGCTGAAGTGGCAGTTCCAGCGGCAATCCCAGCGGCTGTGGCAGAGGCTGAGGTGACCTTGCAGGAGCTCCAGGAGGCCCTGGAGGAAGAGATGCTTACCCGAGAGAGCCTGAGCAGGGAGCTGGAGGCCATCCGAACGGCCAACCAGAACTTCGCCAGGTCAGGGTCAGGGCACAGGGGCCTGTCCCTATCTTTAGCAGCCTCTCTCAGAGACCCCAAAGGGCTCACGGTCTTTACCTCCCCTCAGTCAACTCCGCGAGGCTGATGCCAGGAACAGAGACCTAGAGGCGCACATCCAGCAGCTGCAAGAGCGGATGGAGGGGCTGCAGGCGGAGGGAGCGACAGGTGAGTCCCTCATTTGCCCTCTTTCCCTAGGGCACCAGGGGAGGTGGGACCGCCAGTGTGTGTGGACACCTGGGGGAAGGCGAGGGGCCCAGGCTGGGGCACACTGCGCCACCGCCCTCCTCCGTCACTCCACGCATCCTACACTTCTCTCTTCTCCTTCCAGCTGTCACGGGGGTCCCCAGTCCCCGGGCCACGGATCCACCTTCCCATGTAAGACCCCTTTTTCCCCTGCGTCAAGCCTGCTGCCCCCCTGCAGACCCTGTCCCCGTCTCCCCGTCCAGATTTAGGGCTCACCTACTTCTTTGGGGTTCCAGGCAGCAGAACCTTCCATTCAGCCCTATATCCACCAGATCTCCCACGGTTCAGGCCTCTAACCAAATCCCGCCTGGGACCTCCCTTGATTCCCTCCCCGACCTCAGCTCCTCTCGCTGTCTCTCAAC